TGAGCAGGCCACCACCTCTAGGCTGCGAGGACACCCTTTCAAATTACGTGTGACTGGGGCAAGGCTTGACCCAATATAATTATTTTTCTCTAAGAGGGTAATCCAGGCGTGGAATGCCCTTCCGGCGGACATTGTCATATCCCCATCCGTATACGTATTGAAGGCAAAACTTGACGGCTTTAACCGCGTAGAACGCTTTAACAAGTATCGTTGCAATTGAGTTTCCTAATCCAAACACTGAAATGATATAAATATATAGTAATCGTAATGTTTAAGTAGTATTATTATTATTCAATCAAAATACGTTTTAAGCCGTACTTTAGCTACCCAACGTCTTTGCTCAATATGCGAACTGCGCTGATCGCGTCTGAGGTCGCATCTACCGCACCTATGGCCCTAGGCTACGCAGCCCTGTCACGCCCTTTCTCTTATCGACCTAAAAACCGACTGCTGACGACGTGGCGGGTTCCTCTGCTGTTGTCACAGCAAGGGCGTATCATGGTCGCATTTCCGGTTCTTGGGGACGTTCTCGTGACTCTGAGGTCTCCTCCTCGTATTGCCCTCGGCTGTAGATATTACTCGCCGTGGACCCCATGGCTGCCGCCAACCTTCACGGAAGCATCCTAGTCCTATCATTCACACACTTTCCCCACGAGCGACAGTTGTTCTCCTAAAAACAACAAATGAAATTCCTTTTTGAATTATGAGCCATGCCTTAGGAGTTTTTTCACTGTCTGCTCTTCCTGCTCAGTTACACTGCTGGCTCGTGTTAACTGACATCAACACATGTGAGTGTATAATTTGAAACAAGCGAGTAGTCGCCTACAATTGTGTCAACGACTCCTTTGAAATGTTCGGCTGTGCCGATGCATTTCTTAAATACTAGGTACCAAGAGGGAGTTCAAAGGCGTTTTGCCTATATTGCCTTTAATAAAATTGACTTGACTTGAATATAATTCTGCGTGTTTTTATATCATTTATCGTGATACCGTACAACTGACGTGAGCCTTAACGAAACCTCTTCCATTTCATTCTACAGGCATACTGTAATTGCATGGGAGGAACTGTACCCCGCGTGTCTAGAGGAAAAAAGCAAACACCGAGCCAAAGCTGTCACATTTCTCGTTCCGAGCGGCACCCTCCAGCGTATACAATTTAAGTATCTATGAGAATCCTTGGGTTCAGTACAGAGACATGTGGAAACCTCTCAGCGATCTCACGGTCGCACAACAAGGCCACATAAATCACAATGGCGGTAAATGCATGTATTTAAATACTCCAAAGTAACGCAATGAATATGGCATAAAGATACATTGGTGTGAGAAGAAGACGACTCGGTCGCTGGTAAAATACTCTTATTCGCCTGACGTTTAAAGATCCGTCGTGGATTCTTCATCAGACACATACTAAAAGAGCAGTAGCAGAAACGGTGTGGGATGTATGGAGTTCTAACAATTAGTACATAGGCAGACTATAATAGAACCGAGATATCATCCTTTTCCTTCGCGGCTGATGCACCCTGAATAGCCTTCTTCTTTATGTGCAGATACTTGCCGATTATGGTTATAGGTGGAACAAACATGAGAATAGAAATACCAAGCGCGATTCCATTTCCAATTGTAGGTGCAGGCACAAGCAGGGCATACTGAAGGCAGGAGAAGGCACCCGCAATGGCACCGCCAATGCCGTAGAGGGTGCCAAACTGTGCCACTGGAAAGGCGGCCATCATCGAAGAAGTAAAGGTGCTGAATAGGAAGCCGCGCGTGATTACAAGGAAGAAGAAGTTGACATAGTAGACTCGTTCATTCGCGACGAACACAAGGCTGCTTACAAGGACGGCGAATGTAGACATGATCAGCATGGAAAAAGACATGGGTAGGAGTTTTAGCCAAAGGATCGCTTTGTCTATATCTTCGTTTCTCTCAAACTTTAGCAGGTGCGAGATTTTGGGTTTAACTACTGCGCGCAGCTTGTCAATCACGGCCCCACAGAATAAAGCGGCTAAAATGCCACCGGCAAGAGCGTA